TTGGCATTGTTGTCAGCCATGCTGGTTTTAAAAAAAAAAGCCACCACGACCGAAAAAATAAGTGGTTTCTTTTTGCTTTTTAAAATTATTTAACAATAAATGAAAAGCAAAACAGTCAAGAACAAACAAAAATAGACTAAAACATGAACGTGGAAAACCAAAGACAATAAACAAAGCAAATATGAAAAAGAATAGAAAAAAACGTGGGGAGAGTAAAAAATACGAAAAAGGAAAACGAAAATAAACAACAAAAGAAAATTCACGAGTATATATGGACAAAATTAAAAAGGACAAACTGAAAAATTCAAAAAGGTTTCAACAAATTCAAATCAAAAACTTAACAGTTCAAGGGTAATGAAACAATCAAGCTGGACCAACACACGTCAAAGAAAGCCAGTCAATACGCTCTGGTAAAAGAGTCCGCACTAAAACTAACAGCAAAATTATGGCTATTTATAAGGTGTTCTGTGATGGAAGACCCGATTGGTCAAAAAAGTCCGAGCTTGAACTATCAATTCTCTCGCACGGACTGGATTTTTGTATTCCTCCCTCACATATTAAGCGAGGGTAGGTGTATTCGGAGTTTAAGGTTTTGTTCGCGCAGCTAGCTAAACTCTAACCTGGATCTGATTGCAAGGTCACCGACCTCAAGGCAACGTTGAGTAATATAGAACTTTAATTCATTTAATTTTAACACCTTCAAAACTAAACTTCTCTCCATTAATCATCTGCGAGACACTTCTGATGTTAACCTCCAGGAAAGTGATACGTTGCAACTTCTGGAGCTCACATTCTCTTCTGATATGAACTGGAAATACCATATTTACGCCATTGCTATGTCAGCGGCTAAGAAAGTCGGTTGATTATGTCGGGAGAGACATTTTTTTCTCTCCAGGATCTATCTTACATATCTATAAGCCTACCATTCGTCCATGCTTAGAATATTGATGTCGCATATGGTCTGGTGCCTCTACTATTTACCTTGAGTTCCTTGATAAGAACCAAAGAAGATTCTGCAATATTATTAGTCCTGATCTGGCGGCTCGGCTTTAGTCACCATCCCACTGCCGTAAGGTGGCCTCTCTGTGTCTTTTCTATAAATACTTTCATGTTAGTTGTTCGAATGAGCTCTTCGCTATGATACCTACAGCTTTTGAATTTAAGCGTAGCACTATACTGGCGTCGAGATCTCATCAATTTTTATTTGATCTAGCTACATGTAGCCGTAAATTCTATGCTAACAGTTTCTTCTCTCGCACTTCTCGCTTGTGGAACTCCCTTCTGGCTCCATGCTTTAATCTGCAAAAATTTAAATGCAATGTCAATCGCATCTACTGTCCACCTGATTACTCTCTTCTCTTTCTACTCACCATTAATTTTTCTGTTCTTAATTCTTCCACACCCTGTAATGCCTTATGTTTTAATGGAATTACTACCTTGCTTGGGGTGATACCGATAAAAAAATAAAAATCAAAAAGTAAAAGATAACTTGAAACTTCTTAAACTACTTGATTCTTTCTTCTATCATTATTAATTCATTTTTTTTTCAGAGAAGAAACAATCGAATATGCTGCTAACCAATTCATTCATCATGTATTTATTCTCGAACACATATTTTATTTATTCGTCATTCGAAAGAATAAAAGCAAATAATAAACGAATAAAAAAAGCATTTGGGGTGAAGCTATCCGCCATTAAAGTGCTAGTTCGAATACCTGTCTGTTTGTCACAAATGTCGGTCTGGTGGTTTCTATTATCACACGTTCAAGGTGAAAGTCGTATTTCAAATCCATGCGCGCTCTGTAAAGAACTGCTCGTCTATCAATTATTTTCCATGACACATTCTGCTTCATGAAGACATTTTTCTTGTTGGCTAGAGGAAACCTTAGAACAATGGGTTGATCGTCTAGAAAGAATATGTCTTTTGTGTTTTAACATTTTTTTATGTTGTTGGCTGATTTTTAAATGTCAACCTTCGCTGGATTATTTAATGTCTAATTTTTGTATCGGAAATCCAATGACGATGTAAGCACTCAGTAGTAAAAATAAGCCAGACTCACTCACTAACAATTGCTCCTTGTTAAGATGCCCATTTTTTATTTTCCTTTTTTTTTTCTTTTTTTTTTTTTTAAGTGGCTAAACTTTCGAAAAGAATGTCCAGAATTTAGAATCGTCGTACCGAGTTCAAATTCCGAGCAAATCAATTACTTTCACTTTCATACAAATGCCTTTGAGAAAGACAAAGAATCCGTCTCTTCTCCCGCCAGTTATAGATTAAATAGCAGGGTAGACAAGACTCTCTAGCATTGATAGGTAACCAGTCTAAGAGAAAACTCGTGGAGAATGCAATGGAAAACCACATAAGAATGCATTGCATTTCACAGATAAAACATCCGTAGAGTCATGGTCTTCTATGTCCTGAAGCGAGATGGAAATAAAATAAAAGCATTTTTCGAAATTTAATCATTACTTGGGCGACAACAATAACTGCCACCAGTGAGAGATTATGTAAATATCTATCCTGTCAGCTAAGTTCATTTTACTAAACTTCTGCGTATCTGTTAAAAAAAAACAGAGTAATATGACATATCATTGCAGCAGCTAATTCGATCGCGAGACTAACTAACGAATCTTTGCATTACACTAGGCGCCTAACATATATTTATAAGCTGAGCGATAACTGGTCCATCATTAGAATAGTAGAATACATAGTAAGAATGTAAGCCAAAACATTTGGCGAGACTAGTTATTAATCCATCAACATAGTCTCTCTAAAACGAATTTGTTGATGATATTGTATCTCATCCTTTCAATCAATATCAAATTTTTATTTGATCATCAAAAATTTAAATGCAATGTCAATCGTTATCTTCTGTCTCTTAATTCTTGTTCTTTTCTTGTTCTCTGTCCATAATTGTATTTTTCTCATACTATCTAACATTCAGTAAACTCTTGCGTCTTTATTGCCTCGCTTGGGGAGAAATGTTTTTAAAAAATAGAACAAAATAAAAGGATATATTTGATCGCATTGTTCGATCTATTCTTGAGGTTACTGTCAGACTTTAGGTATTAATAGCAATAGTGAGATTAGCCGTTTCCATATAAGAAGGATTCGGCATTCGTTGAACGAGCAGTTAGCGTTACTGTCGGTTGAAATTTTATAAAATCTTTCTTATAAAGCAGTTTTTCAGGAAAATAATTTCCTCAAGTCCACTATTATTTTTCTTTTATTATCGATGGATGTTTCCTTTCTAAGCTTTTCTTTAAGGTAATGTGGAAAGCTAATATCTTGATTAGGTCATTATTTTCACTCTGAGTTACACGTGCTATTCATCTTTTGAGGCCATTGGATGTCTTCAACTGAGGAACTTTTTGTTATTTGACAAATTTGTTCGTGATTCTGTAGCGCCACTCTATATCATCTGATGAAGGATAGTTTTTTAAAAAAACCAACAGGGTTCATTCGCTTGCAGCCATTTTAATCATTGCTTCGAGAAAGCGGATTTACATTAGGTGATAGTTTAGTCATTTCAGAATGATGGACGCCATGTATGACATCTATTTAAGAATCTCCATCAGGCGGTTATTTAATGCTCTTCGGAAATGATTCGGTAACCCTATGTCGCGAAAAAGGTTTTGATATCATCTGATATGCTGAGAGGCACCGTCACATCAACGACTCTTCCCTACTGATAGATTGTCACTATGAAATACACTATTATTTATTCGATGCAGCTTCGAGAGAAGCTGGAAATCATCAGGTAGCCATCGTCCTTGCTAAGGAAAAATTCCAGCATGGAAATCCCAGTGAGTAGCTTTTTATATTTATAACTTTGTACGATATAAAGGTAAAAGTGTAGCATACCTAGGTTGCAGGTCTGCTATGAAATTCAACATTTGAAACTCTGCTTTGTTATTTAACGTAATTATTACTTTGAAAAACTAAAATCTGATTTCATAATACTTTGATAGGCCAATTTTTAAGTCGAGTAAATCAGTATAGCATACTTTAATTTCTGCCAAGTATACCAACCCCATACGCAGTATTTGTTTCCACAGACCTTCTATTGTTTAGTATCAGTAAAATACTATTTATTTGGAAATGCAGTGGGTGGTTTCTTTTTGCTATCTCTTAGAACGGTAGGTTTCCCAGGTTAGATAGCCCAGTCTACGAGTCTCGTATTCTGCTATTTGATCCAGAAGTAGATAAATAAATGACGGAGTCATACGTTCTCTGAAGGGACCAATGTGAAAAGAACAAAAGCAGTCTTGAATGGAATTTGAATTCGGCTCGCTGATTTCATCTTCTGCATCACATTAATGAGATGATAAGTTATGAATAAAGAACATTAAGAGAAATAAGTAATGTATATTAAAATCATATTAAATATGTGTAGCCATAAAAATAGTTTATTTCCAAATTTCGTACACTATAATGTATCAACTCTGATACTAATAATACTAATATTAGGAAATAACCATTTCTGTTTCATATCAGGAGTTGGATTCATACTATTTCCAAGGGAATTAAGACAGAGTGAATACAAATAACCAGAATTTGAATTCAAACTCCGTTAGCCGATTCCATTTCCCGGGCAGACAAGAGTTACTCAAACTCATGAACATTATTCTTTAAAATAAAATAAAAACTAAAAATGAATGATTTGATTTACGGTTTATCAACCCTGTGTGAGGTATTGAAAACTGAACTGGATTGGAACAATAATTCTTTATTTTTGCGAGTGAATATTGCATGAACAACGTTTGGGAATAACAATGATTTTCTAGATACAAGTCATACTATTTAACTCATTTGGTGGGGGAGGAAATGGATTTATACCTTTCCCAGGGGTATTTGCTCGTAATTGAATGTAACAAACCCGACTGGAATTCGAAATCGGCTCTCCGATTTCATATTTCGTGCCGCAATCTATTACACCACACACACATCACAAAATTGAACAAAGAGATAAAAAGGTAAAATAAAACTGGAAACTGACTTGAAAACTTGGGTGGCTCTGTATTCATCCGGGTATAACATTCTTGTTTGGCCTTCTCCAGCAAAAACAATTGTTTCTCTGATGACATTTTCTCGTTCTGAAAAGAAGAGAAAAAAAAAGAAATCATGTAAAATAGTATAAGTATATTTTCATGTTACTTTTCTTTTTCTGCGCGAACATATTTTAGTAAAATAAACTCACTTTAGAAAACCAACGTCGAGTAATAACTATTAATTTTGCAATCAGAAGATTAGACTTTAACGGAAGCAATCTTGTGACCGAAATTTAGATTTTTCCTTTTCCTTTAATTTTTCTTTGATTCTGGCACCATTAGGCAGGCGTTCCAAAATCATGTGATTTTCTTTTGCGCTGTAACAATAACAAAACTGATGAGGACATTAGTCTGTCTGGAAATAAGGTAGAATTAATTGTAAATAATTTCCATTTTGGGGAACGAATTGTAATGATGACTGCATCATGCTAAGTAGTAATCGGCACAAGTTCGCATCTGAGCATCGGGATCGTCATCATCTTTATTTCCTTTCTCCCTTCTGGTAGTTGTGGTAGACACTTAGAGACTGATGATAGCCGCGCACAGAACGGCTTGAAATAGACTATCTCTATGTTGAGGTAATTTTTGTTTTTTGCTCTAATAAATATATATATATATATATATATATATATATATATATATAGTGGGAGTTATTTATAATAAATTTTATCTCTATTTAAAGACAATTTTATGCCAGAATCAATTTCCAAACTAGTGAACCTGGACCCATACACAAATGTAAAGAAGCACATATACATATACACAAATGTAAAGAAGCACATATACATATACACAGTGTAAAGAAGCACATATACACAAATGGATAAAACATAATAGTTAATATTATGTTAACTTGAGTTAATATTTAATAAAAAAAAAAACTCATAAGAGTTATTATCAATGCGTTTGCTATAAAAATTCAAGAGAAAAAAATGCCTAATCACTTAACAATGCCTCGTAATCCAAAAGCTTTTTGAATTGAAACCTCGAAGAATTTGAAATTTTCTAATGAAAGAAAAGAAACCGGCTTGATTTTAAAAGAGGTTGTTGAAGATACCATGAAATGAGCATGAGAATAACGTGAATGTTTACAGGAAAATGGAAACAAAAATGGAACACTTATACTTCTGATGAGAAAGAGACAATGGAAATTTCTGGGACACATAATAAAGATGAAGTCAACCCAAGGGTTCTGCAGAAGGATGTTGAGAATATTATGCACTGAACCCGTGAGTTACAAGTAAAATGGAAACAAAAAGAGGCCTGTACTTAGAATCAGAAAGAGTCAGTTGAAATTTCTAGGTTACAAGTGGGCTTGGAGTGTTTGAAACTCACAGTATATATTTAAGGCAAAAGAGGCAGATGAAAACAGCGCGGACCCTCCCTAATAGACAAAGCAATAACTGGGAAGGGGAGTAAGGTGACAAACATTACTTAGAACTACGAAGGATAGGACGTTGTGGAGAGTTATGATAGATCACATCCTGAAAAGACACGGAACATTACGTCGATTGCGGCAATTAGATCATCGATTTCTTGTGTTGTAAAGAAGCAAATTCGATAGTTTTGAAATTAGCCGGCGAACAACTACAGCATTTTCATCATTTGGATTATTGTAGCATAGCAGACAAAAAAAGTCATTTTTATAACATTTAATATTTACAGTATGTAACTGATACCAGAAAATATCAGATGGTCTGAATGTCAGTCAAGAACCTTGGATCTCTGAGATTTCTGATCTGTAATGATTTCAATATGTACCGAGTTCACTAAGACATACTAAAATAGACTTTGCACTTAGTGTAACACCAGAGCATCAGGTAAATACGTAGACACCAGGTGAGGATTTGAGACGTGGGAACAGGTGGTCGACTCGGCTACGCTTAGGATGTGCAGACGTAAGAAAAACAGATAGCACGAATATATACAAGCACCCCACACAAGGTGAAAAAACAAGGTCTTTCTTATCCTCGCGAAAAAGATATCCATATTCGGAGAAAATTCCCCAAATCACATACTTTATCGCCAATATTAGGACAGGGATGAAGAATAATTTTATGTATGAGAGATACATATTTATTTAATAGTCTGTGCAACAAGAAAGTTACGTAAGGCACATATGGTAGTTAACATAATCAAATTTGGGCACGTAATAATCTTTTAAAAGCAATCTTCATTTCATCAATTTATAAACAGTAGACGCATGTGGCACTGCACTGGCCTGTAATCTTCACCGACAATTATTTTTTTAAAAAGTACAGAAGCATAAAGGAAGAAAGAAACAAATAGAAAACATACAAACAAAAACAGTATCATTTAATCAGAATTTTGCCCGATCCCATCAAACATTAGTAGGTTCTTGATGGGTGCTCAAGACCAAATCCATTTCCGCGTTTTTTCCATTTTAAATAGGATGCTCCTCTGATGGCAAGTAGCCATTAGCTAAATCACATTCATTTTTCTTCATTAACTGTGATTTCCCCATAACTTATTTGTTAAAGAAATAGAATAGTTTTTCCTTGCGTTGCTTACAGTGTTGAATTCCAAGTAGTCCTTCGCTTGAACTAGATTCAATCAAAGAGAATACACTTCTCAGCTATTTAAACCACAGCTTTGGGAAAAGATGGTTTCATGCATTTTTAAAGGGCATAGTGCGAAAGTGAATAAAATAAACTAGACGGAAATTTGAATTCAACTCACCTCTTCCACATGCTGAACCAATGAAAATAACGCTAACCGCAAAATCATTCAAATAAATCGCATTAAAACTTAATTTTAAATAAGAAAATAAAGAAAATATCAAGAAAAAAGCTTCTCTTTTGAATGTAACCTCTTTATATACATGGTGCAAGGAATACATTGTCGTCTAAATTATGAAAAAATGAAAATAACACTAACATCGCATTCTAAGACTTATTCACCTAAGTTACACAAAAATATTGTGAAATACAATAAGTTTGCCATTGGCTTCAACCACGGCCTCCAGACGACTTCGGAATCTCCCGCACCTCTTCTGGATGGCCTTCTTGTTTAAGTTGGTGAATGCTTCCATAGTCCTTGCCCTCAGTTCACCTTTAGTGTTACAAGGAGTTTTGTTTGTTTCTCTCTCAACTGCGCCCCACACATAATAATAAATTAGGTTGCAGTCTGGGGAGTTTTGATGGCCAAATATAAGGGATGATTTGGTCGCAGAAATTGTCTGACAGTGTGGCATGGTGCAGAGTCCAGTTGCCGCACATAGGGTCTATACAGCAGCCACTCTCTTGACCCAGAGAAGCACTACCTACTCAAGACAATTGATGTAGGCCTCCGTGTTGAGTCTGAGGCCCTCAACAAAAAATTCGGGAGTTCTTTTCTTATCAGAACGATCAGAGTGAGTTTTCCGAGCTACTGTGCCTTCGTAATCACCAATAGACTCATGCAACTCTTTTCGGATCCTCTGCACTGTACTCAGATCTACACCCAAACACTCTGAAATGTTCCTATTGAAACTTCCGGTGCAAATGCCAAGCAGTAAAGCATGCCGTTTCCAAATTTCTGGCTGAGTGAATTAAGCCGTGTTACTCTTTTTTCCCCGCAGACGAGGCCCAATTGACCCTACTATACTGTGCAGTCGACAAAATCAAAAACAACGCGCATGCGTGAAACTGAAAATATAAAAGAAGCGATAATTTACCCATCGCATCCTGTATTACAGAAGAGAGGCTGGCAGATCTGGAAAATTCGATACTCGTATACGAAATTCTGTCGTCCAGGGTTTTTTTTATATTAAAACTCAGAACGTCCGAATAATAAAATAAAAAAATGAAGAAAACATGAATATGCCTGTTAGATAAATCATTTGTATTTACAAACATATATACATGAATTAAGTCTTTTGATAGTTGATTCACAGGGAAAAAAAATCGTTGATCGTCATCGAAGATCGTCCGAGCTGTTGGAGAGGATTCGTTTGAAGTGATCGGCCATTTCTACCGTTTTTGTCGGAGATAATTCGTTTTAAGTGTCCGACACATGATCGTCAACAAATATTCACTGACCTTCTGTACCGTTGTTTGCGATAGTTTGTTTCAAGTCGCCGGCAAATGTTTCTTTCAACAATCACTGGATGGGTGGGGTGGATAAAGCTATATAGCCACGTCTTCTCATGTGTTTGAACGGCTTGGAGAGAGGTGAATTTCGGATTTCTGAATGTCTAAATCTGGGTTTTTATGAGAATTTTTTCCCGAAAGTAAGTTCGGGAAAAATAGGGTTTTATTTTTCTCTGATTGGTCAAATATTTCACACGGTGATGTTAATTTCTAACCAACAGACACTTTGATTTAAACGGTGTGTGTTGTATTGTGGAATATTTTTTGCATGTTTGTAAATATTATCTGTTATTGGGTAAAAAATAATGGGCGTGTTTAAATATTCGTATATAGCTGGGTATGTAATTGTGTTGGAAATAGGGTTTATTTCCTATACTCGAAAGACTAGTTCCGATTCGTGACTTCTAGTCATGTGAGTAAAATATTTCTGAACTGATTAAATTGTTTAAAATAACATTATCTGTTTAATTTCATATATATATATATATATATATATATATATATATATGGTTTCTTCATGCAGTAGCCAATATATTACTAAATTTACATGTCATTTTAATACTTTTAGGATCACGTGGGAATTAGTTCAAGTCACATCAACTATAATTCAAAACGCTTCTCAGGTGAAGTTAGGCAAATACATAATCATCATCATCATCATCATCATCATTTATGTGTCATCTCCCTTCAGAGGGGGGGGGCATGGCCTTCCAGAGCTTCCATCAAGTTTGTAGTATGTGAATAGCACCAGGAAACACTAGATTGTCTCAGTCGAATATAATATTAATGAGGAAACTTTGTTTTCGGGGAGGTTGATCTTCGATGACCCCCCCTCAAAAAAAACAAATACTTGTTATACTAGAATAGTCATTGTACTCAATGTCACACCAGATCATCATAGAAGTTGCGTGCACCAATGGGATGACCGCCTGGCTCGAGGGCGAATCAGTTCGACATGTAAGCACGGGAGATATAAACGCATGA